TATGGTCAGACCTTAGATTTTAAGACTAAAGTCGTTCGGGCTCTCCAGTAGTGAAGCAATATACTAAAAGTTCATGTTGTTTGTGTGACTGTCCTAGTCTTTGGATGTGTCTCATTCAAAACTTCTTGACAGAGACGATGTGATCGGCTGAGTGGTCACACTGCACTGGGGCATCCTGGGGGTTTCTGTCTTTCTATCAGTGACTACTTCTCCCCCTTATATTCTTTCTCCAGTGTCCAGAGGTATTATCACTTCATTCAAACTAAAGTAGGTCTGTACATTGTCAAAAACTGGCATCTGTCTAGGAGCAACAACAACAACTGCAGCAGTCTATCAATTTGCTGGGTGTGCTCGCTGGACAGGCTGAAAATGCAACCTAACAGACATTTAAGAAAATATGTGGACATACAAAACAATATGAAACATATCTATCTCAGACTTCACTGTAGCTTCACCCTGGTTAACTGGACTCTTAAACCAAAAAAAAGAAACTCCTGCTGACATCCACAAAAATGTGTGCCACAGGTCACATAAGTACATTTTCAGATGAACTAAAAAATATGAGCAAACAAATTGTTTGATTGTCAACGTGCATCTCCTTCATATTGTCCAGTTCACATTACAGAACGGCACATCAGAGATATTTTCCTTCGTTGGGTCTTTGTCACATGCAGACAAATGACATTATCACAGTGGCCCATGTTTTAAGGATGTGTCTGTTCTCCTTCACAGGCACATCCACCAGGGACGACTCCTTCCACTCTGACTGATTGGCTCCAGTAAGCCAAGGTGACCTTTGACCCCGCCTTACAACAATTGGAGTGTTCTCGTGCAGGTCTTGTAGGAGTCATGAACATTCAGTCAGGGAGCTGTGTGTTCGTGCTACGTCATATTGCTAGGTCCAAATGCTACAAGAGTGATGATCCTTCATTAATCGGCCTCTGCGTGTCTTTGCTTTATGTCAGCCAGGGACTCATGTCTCCTTCAGGCAAAGCCTGCAGAGGCAGCATGAGTGTGTTAAAGTTGTTCCTCCATGTGTGTTTACACTAGGGTGGGCAGACTGCTTCCAGTAGTAATGCAGTTGTAGGGGTTTTGGTGAGCAAGTGAATACAGTGGTCGACCTGAGGAGGACGTCTGGTTCTAGTGACAGTCTAAATGCATAGTTGTGTGTGTGTGTGTGTGTGTGTGTGTGTGTGTGTGTGTGTGTGTGTGTGTGTGTGTGTGTTTGTGTTTGCTAAGGCTTGGTTGAAGACAGCTGTCAAGACACTCTTGCTTCTGAGAGAATTACAGTTCTCTGGCTGTTTCCTGTATAAATGAGAGACAGAAAAAGGTTTTATGATAGCATATAGTACAATACTGTCATGTTGCTAAAGCAGACCATATTAGATATAACATCATCCTTACTGTCAGATGTGAGGGAGCCCATCGACAGCGAAGCAATGGCGCTGACGGCCTCGCTGTCTGAGTCTCGTCTCAGCCGCCGCCTCTGCGCCTGCAGGTAGGACAAATCCACTGTGGTGGCCGAATCTTTCACACTCTGCCAGTACTCACCTGCAGGAAGCAAAGGGATGGAAAAGAGGGAGAGGAGTATGAAAACAGGAGAGAGAAAGTGAAAGAGAGAGGAAGAGATTAATGGGCTCAGTCGGTGGTATTTCAGTGTTGTTTTCATCCTGAATGAGTCCTTGGGGGGAAATGTCTGCACTGCATTAATAATAAAAAAACACTACTTGGTATTTGATCCACCAGTTGTAGCTGTTTGATCTGAATATAAGCACTGACTGATATAAACAGCCCGTAGTCTAAATCTAAATCCATGTTGAATGGTTCAAAAATGTTAACTCAAATTCAATCTCAGGCTCTCCAGGCTCGAGTCCTGCGACATACGGTGGATGTAAAAACCAAATAGCATTCGCAAATGTGTTCATCTGTGAGCGTGTGTGTTCTGGCTGTGCATGCAACTCACATTCATTTCACCCTGAGTCGAAATTATGGGCTTAACATTCTTGTGGTTTTGCAAATATTTTTAATTAATCTAATTTGGTTGGGATAACATTTGTGTGCAATCATGAGGGGATGTTGTGAAGGTCGTGTGCCAGAGAAGTGTTTGAAGATAATTGGAGCCAGTGCGGCTGTGTGAGCGTTAGTGTGTGTGTCTGTCTGTGTGTGGGACGGCTGGAGGGATGGATGGGAGACAGGGATGTAAAGGAGGAGAGGTGGTCTGAGAGCATGGGTGATGAAGAGACAGAGAACGCGCTGAGTGGGGAAACAAAGAGGCTTCAGTTATAGAAAATCAAAATGTGAAGAATAAATGAACAGCTTGTGGAGACAAAGAGAGAAATCCTGTCACTCGAGTTTAATACTGGAATCATAAAGCTAAAAAACTGGATCAAAAGTTTTTATTTTAAATACAAAATGTTAAAAAAAACTTTCGACACCCGAAAATGTTTACTGTAAAATCCCCTTAGGTGTATGCCTCTGATCTTATTATCAAATAAACCCATGTAACTCAGCTAAAGCCAAGGAGCAACAACAACGTGGCCAGTGCAAATCATTTTGTTGATTTGTGTTAGAACTTGGAAACAAATTCATTAACTTAAATTTATCTCCATCTCACATTTTACTCGTCAGCTGAGACGGTTTATGACTGACCTCTGAGAGAGTGAGACAGTTAAGCAATCTGAGTCTGATAATGGTAGTGAGAGTTAAAGACAAATGGTGGAGTTACCGGTGAGACAAAGAGTTGTCATTTGTTTCTAAGTGTCTCCAGTTCTCACAAATGACTGGTAGTCCTGCTGCTTGTTCTACTAATAGTTTCAGAGACTTCTTTAGAGATTTCTTCTTGATGCACCCAAGTCTTATGACAACAGCAAACACTGAAAAATGTGTGTATATAATTTCCACAGTGCTACAACCCCTCAGGTTGACATGCGGCTGAGGGATCTTGATGCTTCGGGCTGTGTTGTGCTGAGGAGTCGTTCTCACCCTGAAAATGGATGACTCTGCGCAGAGACTGGACAGCATTTTCACAAGGCTTCTGGTCCAACACAGACTGGGACAGCGGCTCCACCTGAGACACAACCCCAAATAAGTGATACAACAGAAGCCTCTTTTACACAGAGATATATTGGCATCTAGTTGGCCCTTCTTTATTGCCTATTGACACTGACTTAAAACAACATAATGTGTTCTTTTTTTTTTTACACAGATACCTATATTCTGGTATTAGAGGGCTGACATTTACCATGATGTGAGTGTAACACACACACTTTGGAAACACAAAGCATACCAGTAACGCAGGATGTGCTTCTGCTCTTCTTGCACATTTACTTCATGATTTGGACACAAATTTGTTGTGCTTAGTGTACATAGTGTGCAACATGTTAATGAATATGGTCGCAGATTCTCTTTCTTTGGCTTAATGTTAAAAATACTGATCTATAATCAATAACCCATGATAACAAACTAAAAACATGTTTTTTTAAAAAAAGGTTTGCAAAATTTGCTGCAAAAAGTGAAGAGGTCTGAATACTGTCTGAGGCTATTGTGTCTATGGAAACACACATGTACAGTATGTATGCACACACACACACACACACACACACACACACACACACATATCTCACCTCCATGCCCAACAAAGCACTAACGCAGGCTTCAGAGGCATCACAGATGGCCTTGAGGTCATGTCCCCCCTCCAAAGCCAGCACCACCCTACCGCCGGCCAGTGACATCAGCTGGCGGGTCAGGAAGCCAAAACCTGGTAGAGAACAACACACAGGTGGAGCCAGATATTAACTGGCTAAAGTTTATGAACCTATGATTCATTTAAAATAGAAACCAGTTCCTGGAAACCGAGATTTTCTCAGATCAGTTCACAAACACTCTATACCCATGAAGTTCAAAATTCCTGCATTACACAGGGACCCTCACCTGACGCTAATGAAGCCTGACATCAATACTATATACACAAGGTTGATCAGCTGTTTTTAAGAGTATGACTCATCTACATTACACATTTTTGTGGAAAAACAAAATATTAATGCTCATTCATATTTATGTCTAAGAGCATGTTGATGAGCCTGTCTGCTGTATGTAAATGAAGGGTTGACTGAGCCTTACACTTGGCAGTGACCTTGTAGCCTCCCAGTAATGACGAGTGTCCTTCGACAGCATCAAAGCCAGCAGACACCAGCACCACATCAGGGGAGAACTCGTGGGCAATGGGCATCACCACAGCTCTGAGGAGGCAGAGACGACACAATGTAAACCACTGTTGTTATGTTACATTCATTCAAGCCCTGCAGTGGAGCTGAAATTAGATAGAACATTTAAGAAATCATATTTTCAACAGGTGTTGACAACTGGGAGGAGTGAATACAGTATAACAATGCAAGCAAGGAAGTTACTGTGGGACTGATTTAACATCAACCAATAGGCTGAAAATTTTTTTTTTAAAGTTTAAGCCTTTAAAGTAAAATTTTAAAAAACATCAAACAGGTCGGGGCAATTGATTTGCAACTGGCACGCGCGCACACAATGTAGGACTTTTTTCCGGGTTGTTAACTGCGACATGTATTTCAGTGCAAACTCCCTCCATTTGAAAATGATGAAAGATAAATTATCAAAGGCCACGTTCCAAGTGCTTGATCTCTCTTCTGGTGAGCAGCCAACACTAGAAGGTGGGGTGGCTCCCAGGTGTCAATGTGTGCAGCTGTTTAAAAGTGAAGCACTGCTGAAAAAAGAAGCATGAGCATGCTGCAAACCTCTCCTGGATATACAAGGATCAAACAAATGTCAAAGCAGAGACTTTAGGGAGATGGCTAACACGGCAGATTTTCTGTTTTTGTGAGTGACACAAGCAGATAAAAATGAGAACCCTGACATGCGTGGACGCCCCCATACTGTACACTCTACTCAGGGGAGACCACTTTCTTTGCCTCTACACTCTCCTCCTCACTTCCTCTTGTCTCCCGCTGCCAGTTATTTAGCAAGAGCGCATGGCCCATGCCGCGTTTGATTCCCTCTCTCTCTCTCAGCGGCAGTTCAAAGGCGTTTCTGTGCGTCTGGTTCCTATTAGGAGCTCGTCCCTCTTCTCACGTCACTGACAGCCAGCCATCTGGGATCCATTGAGTCTAATTACGCCGCCTTTGGATTCTCTAACAATGCACCCCCCACTTCTTCTCCTCTCCTCTGCTGTATTCTCCTCTGCTCCATAATAGTTTGTCATTCATCAGTAGCCACCTAGAAATGCACAGGAAATTATGTGCATGCACACGTACATACTATGCCAAAGACAAAATACTGTACATAGGTTCATGCTCTTCAAAATAGGATGTCGTGTGCGTGCTGTGCTACTGGTGATTAGACAGACCTTCAATTCTGACCACCTTAGTAATTCGCCTCACATACAACACACATAGCTGAGTTTCCTCTTGATTGTACTGGAGTCTCACCGCCGGTCTCGACCACAATATTTCCCCTGTCACTAAAGCATGCCCCAAAACCAAGACGCACATCATCAGCAGCTGCACTATAGCTAGTTTTTCTGTTCCATCCACAGAGAGTCTGGAGCACCCTGACGTCTAAATCATGTGTTCAAACTGAAATACAGAAATGGAACCAGACTAGATGCTTAATTGCATAAACATGAATTCATGATGCATTAAATTTTGTCTGTATAACGTGTTATGCATTTATTTGCACTGGTTTATCTACAGAATGGTGACAGCACCCACTGTAAACCTATTCCAACATTTGTTTAGTACATGTTTTCACAGAAACCCACTTTATGATCTTTGATGCATTTAGTTTCTTAGAACAATCCTAATTGTCGCCCTGCATTTTTTCATTTATTAGATAATTAACAGTGGCAGTAAATATGAGGTTGTTCTCCATGTTGACACACGACAAAGCTCATTGGCTGAATGTGCGCTCCGGACATCACAGCTACATGGCTTGTACCACAAACCACTGGACCACCAGAACACCCCTTCTCCACAGAGCTTTGATACAGGGGAAAGTTTCTAGGGGTAACGTTCAATACTGTGCAGTACTACATGTGGTTAACTGAGGAAGTTTTACACATGAAAACACTTCCCAAACTGGATGAAAAATACCAAAACCAGACGCCTGCTCTGGAAAGGAACAGTTCTTTCTTAATGAGCATCCAGAGCTCCAGTAAACACTGGACTTAGTGTTTCTGAGCCTGCTGACTGGGTCTATGGATTTTACCAGTATGGGTTAGTCCATTAGCATCTTTCTTTTGACGAGGGGCCCACCCACTGTGTGTGCTGTATGTAGCACCATGCAGAGCCCACATACTGTTTAATCGTCTGGTGGCAAGCCAGTGTTGTTGACATGACATGACCATGAGTTCATTACAATGTAGAGCAGAACCAAATAAGTTTCATTCAGGAAAACTAGCTGGAGTGAAATCAACAGTGTGGTGAGAGCAAAGGTGAGTGTCAGTACCACATCTGCATGTGGTTTTGTTTTAGTTCAGCAAGTACTGGAGCGCTATTGCCAATATCATTAAAAAAAAATCCATCAGAGGTTTGTCCACTTAATGCAACTTAGACTTAACATTGATTACTGCCAGGCATTTTTAGAGGAAACCAGGAATTAGACATGAAACACTACAGGTAATCCTTCACAGTGAATCAAATCGAACTCTGCAGCTGACTCTTCAGTCATCAAGCTGGAAACATTCCAAGCAACACTATAATTAACTGTAATATAACAAGTGAAATATTTAGGAGTGTATTAACTATCACAGATTTTAAGTCCGTGCAAGTTGATTTTTATACTCCAATGACACAAACTGACACTGATAGTCAAAGAAACATACTCACAGATACAAAACCTGTCATGCTTTGGTAAATGGTTGAGATTCATGTATGCAAGTAAATCTAATTTGTAGCACATGGGCTTGAACATACTGCAACACCTGTACAAACCTGTAGACCTTAAATTGTCAGGTATGGAAAAAAAGATGATTTACAGATAGAATACAGACAGACTGAGTTTAAATCTTTACCTGAATGCAGCCAGGTACTCGGCGTCACCCATGGGTGGGTTCAACCCCCCTGTCCATCCTACATTAACAGTGAAGCCCTCACCTGCACCTGCGCCCACCTGGATGGAGGTATAAAGAGGGAGTGCAAGAGAGCAGGAAAAAAAGTCTCTGTGAATGTCATGGAAGTTAATGAGTTGCATCGAAGGTTGAGAAACAGCGTGATGATGACAGATGTGTCAAATGTTGACAGAATAAACCAAAACAAAACTTTGCATTGCTGCAACTGCCTGGTAGGGTAGTAGCTTCCTAGTTAGTTACTGCTTGGTGGTCTTCTTCTTCTTTTTCTTTTTCCCCATTGGGTGGCAACCAACATTAAGGTGCAATACCACCACCTAATTAGTTGGAGTGTAAGCCAGACAGTTACTGGTCTGGATTATTTACAATATTATCATGTGTGTATTGCTAACATGATGTCAGTATTTCATTTTTTAAATATTCCAGTTATCGTTAACACCGGGAGATCACGACACCCCTAATAAAAACAGTGTATTACAATTATGTACTGTGCATTATATATGTTCTATTTATTGAAAATGTATTATTTGTACATAAATACTGTATAATTAAGGTTTATGTTGTGTATGTTGAAGTGTAGAAGGTTTGGTATCACATGTAATATAGAACTAACATGGTGTACTAACCTATAATATTGTTTGTACATTGTACATTTGACAATATGTTGTATTTGATTCTAGTGAGTTTTCGCTGTATTGAGATGTATAGCGCCAAAATGCCAGGCAGCTGACCTCAAATCGGGCCAGAGAGCGAACTGAGGCCTGGGTCTTGGAAATAGGTCTAAGGATTCCTGCCTCTGTCTTTGTAGTCTTGCTTGCAGCCATTTAGCTGTTCTCTAAGCCCTTCACCATCAGTCAATGTGTCAGTTTTAAGGGAGAGTGAAGAGGGTGATTGACACGCTCTTGGCAACATGGCGAGGTATTTCCTTTGTGTGTGTATATGGCTGTGTGTATGGGTGTGAGAGGATGTTTGAGAGAGAGAGAGAGAGATTACTGATGAGCAGCGCAGAGCATCTGTCTCTATTCTTCTCTCAGTGGACGGGATGTTCGCAGGGCAAACTGAAAACACATGAGGCCTCTTGTCCTCTGCCAACTGGTAATGTACCCAAATGCGCACAAACACACACACGCATGCACACAGACACACACACAAACACTCACGCACATGCACATGCACATGCATATCCACATATTTCCTGCTATTGCTCCAAGTCTTTTGTGCTCCTCTCAGTCCTCTTTCTCTCTTTCATGTTTTGAGAGTTGCTGGACTGGATTAGGCCGTCGCTGGTTTCCGTGTGGTACTCAGCACTCTCTGTTATGGCGATGACATCACACCCCTACCCCATGGTGGGTTATATACCTACACAGGGGACAGTGAGACTCCAGAGGTTTACCACATAGCTCAAATGGAGGTTGAGGGGCCACTTAAGGCAAAGCCACATCCAAGCCAGCAGAACGTTTTATGTACCGTCCCTCATCGTGGGATTTTATGTAAAAACAATGACTATTTTATCCTCAGTATTGTGGGTGTGGGGTGGGAGGGGGAGGAGGTGGGAAGAGTATAAGGATGGGATGTGGGGTATTGGATTGGGGGGGAATGCCACCGGGTCAGTTCATCTGACAGGGAGTAGTCAACACACTTGGTTCCTGGTAAGGCTGCAGGCAAAATTCATGGGCATCCCAATTTTCTGTATGCAAACATAAGCACGCAGTTCCACTTGTACACGTCCTGTTGTGAGGCTCTGACACCCAAATAAACTGATAGAGGGAAACAAACCTACAGTGGATTTGCTCATGGTGTGTCCACAGGCAGACACAGTTGAAGCACTGAAGTTAAAACGATTGTCATGCTACAGGTATTAAAGACAGTGGAGCAATAGCAGTGGGCAAATGTCAACAGGCTAACATGGTATTTTAAATTATTTACTTTAAGCCAGAATCACATTAAAACTATAATGAAAATGACGTTGAATAGACATGTCGGGATCAAAGCCACAGACAAGCATTTTGAGGTATGATTTCTACTGTAACCAGCTCAAATTATAGAATCAAATTGTTCAGATTCCAGTGGTATAAGTAAAATATGATTGATCTATTTGTAACATCTGGTCCAAGAACCAATCGAAAAGTATTTAAATCCTAAACCCCTGTACAGTATGCATCCATAGTAACCTGTCTCATTTTTCCCTGTGCATTCAGCCATCACGGCCAGACTGAGTTTATAAGTGGGGCTTTAAATCTTTAGTTTATTCCTGGATTGATTGTTACAATCATTCTTCCTGTTTTGACAAGTAAATGCTAAACACAAGGCTCTTGAGCTCCCTAATGTCCCACTGGAATTAGATAATTACCAAATATTTCTGTGCCAGCATATTTATCTTCACATGAGACATGGGTATGAACTCTGCATCTTTAGGAGTCAAAATAAAATCTAGCATGTACTCATATTTTCCACTGGACAAAGTGTGTGAGTGTTATAAGTCATAAAGGTTTCTCGTGGCTATTGTCTTCACAGGAATTTAGGTAGATGTGGAGACACACCAACACACAAAAACACCCAGACAGCACCATGACAACACAAACAAAAGCAGAAAAACACAGTGGTGCTGGGTGACTAGTTGTGTAACTACCTCGCTGGGATTTCCACTACCAGGAAAGAAGTTGCCATCATCATAGCGATGTAGAGAGATGTACAGCACACTTGGGTCAGTATAGAAAGCTTCCTGGGTGCCGTTGCCATGGTGAACATCCTGCAGAATGATTGAGTGACAGACAGATTGAGTGCCTCACTGAAAAACAAAACCCTGTAAGAGTTGCCATTGCATTATCTGTTCTGTCATTATAAAGTATAACCCAAAATGTAAAACCTGCACAACTTTTCTCTGTCAGTGCATCTAGTCTCAAAACCTTCTGATGAAGCAGGTAGTAATTAGTGTTTGATGCTGTAATACGTCAGAGAGCACAGTGTGTGTACAGACCTAGTGCAGGCTCATATATATACACACATGGTGAACAGAGGCCACCTGGCTGCGGATCAATATCTGCACATGTGTGTGTGTGGGTGTGTGTTCATATGACTTTGTGCGACTCTGTGTCTACTCTAGGCATGCGTGACAGTTCGGATCACACATGGAGACCAGAGAAAACAAAGTCTAAATGAACTAAATGATAAATAGGAGTGCTACTGTACAGGGGTGCTCTGCTTCTGGGACTGTATTCATGCCCACAATACATTTGTGTGTATGTACATGTGTACAGTATTTACTCCTGCCCATGTGGAGACCAGTAACAGTGGTGGTGCAGCGGGTCCTTACCCAGTCCACGATGAGGATCTTGCTGACACTGAGTTTGTGTTGGAGCTGTTTGGCAGCGATGGCCACAGAGTTGAAAAAACAGAAGCCCCTGTGGACAAACAAACAGGAAGAAAGGCAGCCACATGTCTTTATCAGGACATCTTCTCTAAATTAATATCATAAACACACCATATGGACCTTAGGAACCATGTCTCCGGTTATCTGGCATCATGTGTTGGCTAGTCAGTCCAGGCTGTGACAGTCACAGCACTGGAAAATCCTGCCACACAAACATTTACTGCAAAGTGAAGATGTTTCTTTTCAAGTTGTTTTGTATTTCATTTTTCACTGCTGACAAACAAAATGGCTTTTTATTATGCTCAGTCTAAAATCCTGCACTCTTGAGTAATGCAGAACCAACAGATTTTGTGATAAAGAGAAAATCAAGTTTATCATAAAATTCTCTCCACATTCCAAATGATAACGTAGTGTGTACTGCTGGCAGGTCATGTGTGATGAGTTCAGAGAAATGAACTCACAACTTGGCGCAGCATTTCCCTCAACACTCCCTGCCTGCAGTAAAGGTTTGCAAAAAAAAAAAAAAGTCGACTTATGAAAAACAATAGGGGAATGTTGGAAGTGTCAGTGTCAGCACAGCTCATAAACTGTGACTGCCTTTGTGTTTGTGTGTGCCTATTGTATTACTCACATTATGGGGACTAAAGCCTGTTAACACGCTCACATTGTGGGCCTGTCGTGGTCGTCCCCAAACCCGGTGGTGGACACCGGAAGTAAGGGATGCCGTCAAGCTGAAGAAGGAGTCCTTTTGAGCCTGGTTGGCTCGTGGGACTCCTGAGACAGCTGACGGGTACCGGCAGGCCAAGCGGGCTGCAGCCCAGGCGGTTGCGGAGGCAAAAACTCGGGTCTGGGAAGAGTTCGGTGAGG